CCCCCAACGCACATATTCCAATGACTTTCTTAATGATTTTGGTGACAGAAGTTCTTACCAGTCTACAGGGCCATGCATGGTCTGTCCAAAACTTCCTGTATCTCCTTACCTTGCTTTTGTGTTCCCCCTTGCACTCTCATCCTTTCTCCTTGGGGTGGTCTTCTGTACATCCGTACATGGTATCGTGTTGCTCCTCTTGAATGCAAAGGCCACATACACGTTTTGTATTTGTGCTCTGTAAATTTGATGAGAACTAAGATACCTTTCTTCTTCTTTTAAGTACACCCATTGCATTGCATTTTGGAGTTCCTCTAGTTTAAAACACTAGAGGAGTGTTTTACAGTCAAGTGACAAAAGGATAGTCTTAATATATAAAGAGCTCATAGGTGCCATCCAGTTGGCTCTGACTCATAGCAACCCTATATAGGTTTTCCAAGGAGCAGCTGGTGGGTTTGAACTGCCGATCTTGTGGTTTGCGTCCAGTGCTGATTCTACAGTGGCACAAAATCCTTGTTAAAGTAATTTCCCAATTCTATGAACAAAGAATATAAATTGTTTGTCAAAATTGCACAATTAACTAAGTTGCAGACCTGAGATTTAAAACTAGGTCTACATGGCTCAAAAACCATCCCTTTAACCTAACACAGACTCCAGAGTTACCAACTACACAGCCGGTCTCCCAGGCAGTTTCTTGTAATTTTTCATGAACATAGATATAGGATGAAGAACTATTGCGTATTTTCCAGTGGTTGTTGTTAGGTGCCGTCAAGTTGATTCCGTTCCATAATGACCCTCATTAGGGATTCTGAGGAGCGACTGGTGAGCTTTAACTACCTACCTTGCAATTCAAACAAACTTTGAAGTCCAGAGCATTAACCCACGGTGCCACACCAAGGTGATTGAATACAGGGTTAAAAGAAAGCACCAATGTAACATCAGTGGGTCCTACATACTGACCTCTTATCTCTTGCCTCTCTTCCATTGGATCATACTCTTTGGCGATAAAAACCCGAACAAATAGAGACCATAAATCTTACAAAAGGAATTATTAAAATAGGTGGTAAAGATAAAAGTGTTCACATATCAGTTTAGCAAAGATTATTTTAATAGATAATGCTTTATAGAATCTGTTACAGTAAACATTCTTTATGTGTAGCTAATAAGAGTAGTATTACTATTCTCATCTTTCTGACAGACTACCAGCCCTTTCTACATTTTTAGTCACTTCTCAGAGTTGCTATCGCCAAAGAGTCTGATCCATTGGAGGAGAGGCAAGAGACAAGAAGTCGACATGCAGACCCACGGATGTCACATTGTTGCTCTCTTTTAACCCTGTATTCAGTCACTACCACTGTAAAACATGCAATAGTTATTCATCTTATGTCCATTTTCATTTACACAAGAAGCTGCTTAGAAAACCTGCTACATAGTTGGTAACTCTGGAGTCTGTGCCACATCGACCTAGTTTTAAGTCCGTTGAGTTTTCTTCTGACCCATAACTATGTAAGATTTCCAAGGGGCAGGGCAGCTGGTAAGTTTGAACTACCAACCTTGTAGTTCAGTGATTTCTCCTACAGCGCTGCACAAGGATTCCAGAATGAAGGGTGTTGTTATATGCTGTCAATTCAGTTCTGATGCATAGTCAACAAGGTGAGCTTAAACCACCAAATTTGTGGTTCAAACTGACTTTTCTCTCCAGCGGATTAACCCACAGCATCTGACCAGGCCTCCAGAATGAAGGGTGGTTGTTAAGTGCCGTTAAGTCAATTCCGACCCATAGCGATCCTGTATATGGTTTCTGAGGAGACGCTGGTGAGCTTGAACCACCGACCTTGCAGTTTAAACGGCTTTGCAGTCTGGCACATTAACCCAAAGTGCCACACCAGCACTCGAGAATGAAGGATTGTTGTTGTTATGTGCCGTGGAGTCGATTCCGACTCATAGCAACCCTGTACAGGGTTTCTGAGGCTGTAACTCTTTACGGGAGCAGAAAGCCTCATCTTTCTCCCATAGAACAGCTGATAGTTTTGAACTGCTGACCTTGCAGCTCACAGCCAAATTCATAACCACGTGTCTGTCAGTCTGTCTTACTGTGGTGGCTTGTGAGTTATTGTGATTCTGGAAGCTATGCCACCGGTATTTTAAATACCAGCAGGGTCAACCATGGTGGACAGGTTTCACATGAGCTTCCAGACAAAGACCAGACTATAGAACAGACCATCGATTATTCATATGCAAATTCAAACTGAAGCTGAAGAAAATGAAAACAAGTCCACAAGAGCCAAAATATGGCCTTGAATATATCCTACCTGAATGTAAAGATCATCTGAAGAACAGATTTAATACATGAAACACTAAATACCAAAGGCCAAAAGAGTTGTGGGATGACATCAAGAACATCATACATGAAGAAAGCAAAAAAATCGTTGAAAAGACAAGAAAGAAGGAAAAGGATCAAAATGGATGTTAAGAAGGACCCTGAAACTTGTTCTCCAGTGTAGAGATGCTAAAGCACATGGAAGAAATGAGGAGGTCCAAGAGCTGAACAGAAAATTTCAAAGATCAGCTCGAGAAGATAAAGTCAAATATTACAACAAAAATGTGCAAAGATCTGGAATCTGAAAATCAAAAAGGAAGAACACACTCAGCTTCTCAAGCTGGGGGAACTGAAGAAAAAATTCAAGCCCTGACTTTGGTTAAATTATTGAATGATGCAGAAAGCATCAAGAGAAGATGGAAGGAATACACCGAGTCATTGTACCAAAAGGAAATGGGTAATGTTCAGCCATTTCAAGAGGTAGCATATGAACAAGAGCCAATGATATTCAGGGAGTCCAAAGTGCATTAAAG